TCCTAAGGACAGGGAAAAGAAGAGAGACAACAACAAAAAAAAAAATTGAAACAGATGGACAAGTGATTACTGCCAAAGTGAAAAGCCAAGAACGCCCAATCCCAAACTAGCCCAATTCACATTCCCAGTCCCTCAAAAGGCACTGCACATGCAAAGAAAACTAGGTGAAAGTGGTTAAAGGAGCAGATCCCTAGACCATCTCTCCTTTTTAATCCACTAAAGGTCTTGTCTCCATGGGAGGTAAACATGAGGTTCTCTGGATCAGGAGACACCACACTCAGGTGAACAAAGGTACTGGTTAGAAAATTAGGCTTTAAGGGCAACAGAAAATGCTACATGCACCATAAATGCAGCCTGCTTTCTTTCACCACTTGGCTACCAGAATGCCATCAGTTACACCTGCTTGCACCAACTAGCACACTGGAAGAGGCTCTCTGGGCCACCAACCAGAGAAAGCTAAGGATATGGACACCAATTAAAGGAACTGGGAAAGTCACCACATGGATAAACCCAAAATTGTTAAGTCCCAACCACTTGTTCAGCGCTTCCCCAATTAGCTATGTAGTTCTACCATGTTAATCAGAAGGAGAAATCATCTATTTTTTATCCTTAGACTTCTGAGGATGGAAGAGATACACCAAATCAACAATAGATAGAAGCGATTTAGAAGAAATGGATTAAACAAAGGTGGGGGACTATGATTAACATCCCAAGAAAAGTCAAGAGAAAATAACATGTCTCTGAAACAAAAACAGGACTGTTGCCAGGCAAAGTGGTGCATGCCTGTAATCCCAGCAGCTCAGGTGGCTGTGACAGGAGGATTACAAGTTCTAAGCCAGCCTCAGCAATGGTGAGGCACTTAGCAACTCAGTGAGACCCTGTCTACATAAAATATAAAATAGGGCTGGGGATGTGGCTCAGTGCCATTCATCTTCTGGCACCTCCTCAAGAGATGGCTTCACACATTCCAAATGGTATACGGCTGAACACGTCTCGCAGCAAAGCAAATCCCCAACTCAGGTTGAGTGCCTTGAGTTCAATCCCCAGGACAAACAGAAAAGAAAAACAGGACTGTTATATTTCCAAATAGGAAGATTCTAAGAACAAAAGCGCTCTTAAAATAAAAACATGGAAAAACATTGTAGCAGAAAAGAGAAACCAAATAGTAGGACTGGGAGAACAATGTAAGAAAATCTTCTAGAAATATTGATCAACACACACACCCCAAGGAGGGGACAGGAAAAAAGAGAGAAAGAAAGAAACTGAAAAGAAAAAAAATCAGAAAAGCAGTCCAACGTTCAATGCAATAATAAATCAAGGCAAACACAACAGGGAAAAGGAGGGGAAGAAGTCATCAGGAGACCTCTCAGAACCAAGGACATCAGTGTGGGTGGAAAATGCCCACAAAGCAGCCACTGGATGAACACAGACCCACACAAGGGCAATCACTGCACGCCTACAGAGCTCGGGCAGAGAAGATTCCATAGCCTCCAGCTAAGTCCAACCCAGTCACCCACTAAAAGATCAAGAATCAAAATGGGTTCAGATTTTTCCACAGCAAAACTGATGGAGTTTAGGTTCTCCCCTCCATGTCCTGCTCTGACATTCATTTCATTCCATCACAGATTTTCAGATCTCACCTATYCCTGAGAACTGGAAGGCTTTGTAGACTTCACAAGCCCCAAACTCAACCACACCCAACGCCCTGAGAAAACCCAACAGTGTTTTCCTGACCTTGCCTAAAAAAAAAACCCAAAAGAGCTCTTGAACTCACAGAGACCTGAAGCCAGTTTATGACCCCGGTCTGTTGGGATATCTCCTCCTGGGAGACTGCAACAGCAATGGCAAAGCTGACCTTTCCCTAGACAGTGAGGCTTGCTCATGCTGTTCCATTTAACACAAATATGGTAAAAATAAGAGAGAGAGCCAGAAAAGAATCCTACCAACAAAATTAGGGTACAAATTACTTCCACAGGCCCCAAGGAAGGCCCACAGTGGCATTCCACCCAGGAACATTCTATTTCCAAGCCTGGGCTTCTAAAACAATGGTAAGCATTTGTAATTTTATACACTCCTCTTTATAATTTTCAACTGTGTTAAACTACAAATGAACTACAACTCACTGTTTACAAAAGTTTAGACCACATCAGTAATATAACCCTGCTACATCAATGATGAAAGAAAATGGTTTAATTTTGAATACATATAAAAGTTACAACCAGATTTACTTACATTATGAGTCTTCGGTTTAAGAACCAGTATTTCCTCCGGCTTCTGTCATATCCAATAGGTTCGTGTCGAATATATGGTTTATTTTTTTGGATTTCAGCAACACAGTCAGTCACACCAGGCACCTTGTGTGCTACACACACTTCACACTGCCATTCATCCTCTGGCACCTCCTCAAGAGGTGGCTTCACACATTCCAAATGGTATACGGCTGAACACGTCTCGCAGCAAAGCAAATCCCCAAGTTTGTGACAAACCCTACAATGGTCATCATACTGGATCACCCCTTCAGACATCAACTCCTCACGAGCAATATTTGTCGTAAGAAACTGATCGACTAGAAACTGCAGAACTTTGATTTTGTTCTCTACTGGTCCGTAAGGRTAGTCCTCGGCTTCTTGGTAAGGAAGAACATGATGGTACTCCTTATCACTCTCACAGTACACACGCAGCACCTCGGGCCACGTCATCCCGTCTATGAAATACAGCGTGGAATTGACGCTATCTTTCAGATCAGCAGGTCCAAAGGTAGTATTGGAAGTGTCTTCTTCACGCAGAACGGCTTTCAAAAGCACAACGTGCATCTCTGCCATGAGTGTGCACTGCTCTTGGCTCACCAGAGCAGCACAAAAGTCCTCAAAGCGAAAAGGAGATAATCTTAAAACAGTGCCAAAGTTCCGCAGTACCTCATAAATGGCAATAACATTCATTATATGCTCATTAGGCACCATTAAATCCTCAGAGGACTTGGGAAATTCAAGGGGTGGGATGTCTTTTTCTTCTAATATTGGAGAACGAGGCCGATGTACTCTTGGTTTTCGCCTACCTGTAAATAAAGAAACAGTATCATTATAAATTAGTACATGACTTCTACAAATTTTGGGTTCTCCAATTTTTCCTCTTTGAACACATACCTCAAAAAATAGATAAGTATGCTTCTATTACATCACCAATTCTCAAAATACCAAGAATAGGGTTTGGGGGTGGAGCTCGGTGTCATAGAACTTGCCTAGCATCCACGAGGCCCTGGGTTCAATCCCAGCATCAACAATAATAAGAATACCAGGAAGCTCTAATTTTAGCTTTCATTCTTAAGTCTATAGAAAAATCTAAATTATCTTTCTCACTAGATTCCAAATCATACATAAAAAAATATTTAATTATAGCTGGGCATCATGGCGCATGCCTGTAATCCCAGAGGCTCAGGAGGCCGAGGCAGGAGAATCAAAATTCAAAGCCAGCCTCAGAATCGGCAAGGCGCTAAGCAACTCAGCGAGACCCTGTCTCACAAATACAAAATAGGGCTGGGGACGTGGCTCAGTGGTCGAAGTGTCCCTGAGTTCAATCCCCAGTACCAAAAAATAAATAAATAAATTCAATTATAATCAGTTCTCAATCCCTAGAGGGATTAACTGGTTTATAGTAAAAATAAATGTTACTTGTGAAAGATACTTTTTACTCTTTATATGAGAGCATAAAGAAAAAACATCTACAGATAAGATGACAAGCATATGGGACCGGGGTTGTAGCTCAGTGGTGGAGCGCTTGCCTAGCATGTGTGAGGCACTGGGTTARATTCTCAGYACCACATATAAATAAATGAATAAAATAAAGGTCCATCACATCTWAAAAAAAAGATGACAAGAGTAGGGGACAATAGAACTTACATAGCATCAGCTGCAAAACAGAAACCCCCCTCAACCTGAAGCAAGTTTAGCATGTAGACTGCCAGAGTCCTTCCTGACAGGAGTCCCAAAGTGAAGCACAGCCTCAGGGCAGAAGCAGGAAGGAAAGTAGAAAGGAAGAAGCCAGAAGAGGACTTCCAACACTAGGAGGAAAAAATATCTTGTCTAGGGACAGGCAGTTAAGGAATCAGTTAACTTTTAGTCACCCAGTCCCCCAGTTTATGAGATGTGAGACCCAGCCATATATAGGCGTATCAATGTATCACTATACACAATGGAGAGATTAGCCTGTGACACATATATATGTATTTTACGTAAGCCTCTGAACACGTCTGTGAAATATTACAATCAGCCCTGCTTTATAAATGTGAAAACTCATTAAAAGTAACAAGTTATTCCTAAATTACTGCCTATATTATTACAATTGTTTTATTGTTTACTTATTTATCTTAGAGTACTGGTTACTAAACCCAACACTAGTTATTGAACCCAGTGCTCCAACACTGAACTATATCCCCAGTCTTTTTTTTCTTTTTAAGACAAGGGTCTCACTAAGTTGCTAAAGTTGGCCTCAAACTTGGGATCCTCCTGCCTCGGACTCCCAAATCACTGGGATTACACGTGTGAGCCACCACACCTAGCTACTACTTCTTGTTACTATACTTTCTGAGGAATGGTAAACATATTCCTAATTTTCAGGAGTAATTTTAAAGACATCAATTAACATTAAGTTCATTCTTGTACAATTGTTTTATGGTTTACAAAAGCTAAACTTTTGTGGAGTTTTTCTTTTTAACCTAAGTATGCATCAGTAGTTAAATGAATGATGACCTACACAAGGAAATCAAATCTAGCATCTGAAAAACATAAGGTAAATTTCTCACATGCCAAAACAAAACGATCTTCTATTTTTTATTTTTTGGAACTGAGGATTGAAGGCAGGGCAGCTCTACCAATGAGCAACATCCTCTACCCTTTTTATTTTGAGACAGGGTCTCCCTAAATTGCCAAGACTGGCCTCAAACTCTCAAAGCCAAGTAGCTGGGATTACAGATGTGTTCCACTGYACCCAGCACTAGTTTAACTTGTTGTACTGGAAACCGTGGTGTCCTGTGCACACTTGGACAGGATACCCCCAAACCAGTCCCAATTCTCTTGCTCAGAGGGTGGGTCAGGACCACATGGAGAGGACCCAGCCCTGGTGAGCAGCTGTGAATGAGTGTGAATATCTGTGAATAAATGGAAGCAACAGTTACAAAAAAATTAGTAAAATGATGTCATCTGAGTAAACAGGGACAGGGAAAAAAGATGGGAACAATGATAGAATATTTGTCTATGGAGGTCACGTAAGAATCTTTTTTTTATTTTTTTTTTKGGGGGGGGCAACGCTGGGGATTAAACCCAGAGGCACTTTATCACTGAGCCACATCCCCGGTCCTTTTTATTTTTTATTTGGAGACAGGGTCTCACTAAGTTGCTGATGTGGGCCTCAAACTTGTGATCTTCCTGCCTCAGCCTCCCAAGTCACTGGGATTACGGGTATGTGCCATCATGCCCAGCAGACTCATTTAAAAGTATTTGTTTATAGGAAGAAATGTGGGACAGGAAAAGAACAAAGATTAATTTTTTAACCTTTTYATATGTTTTTAAATATCTCATGGATGTATTTTATAATAGTTTAAAAGAAAATACTGGACAAYATTTATGTAAATGGCCAAGAATATTAATTTAATGTTCAGGTGCTGGAGATGTAGAGCTCATTGGTACAGTGCATGTCAACCAACCACAAGCCCTGGGTTTGATCTCCAGAACCATAAAAAAGGGGAAGAAAAAAAAAGGAGCATTAATATTTAAATCAATAAAATGTTCCTAATAATGAATACTGATAATCCTGTATGAATATAAATATAAGGTGGATTACATCAAATCAAAGATTGAGGTTTATAGAACTGAGCATGGATCACAGGAAATAAAAGACAGAACATAAAATTAAACCACTTAAGGCTCTCCACTCCTGATAATTAGCAAGTAAAGTCATTCTGACTACTCACAGAAGTATATTTTTCCCCGTAGCAACACACAGAARTATATTTTTAAATATCAGGGTTGGGGTTGTGGCTCAGAGGTAGAGCACTCGCCTAGCATGTGCAAGGCTCTGGATTCGATCTTCAGCACCACATAAAAATAAATAAAGGTACTGTGTCCAACTACAACTAAAATAAATAAATAAATAAATTTTTAAAAAATGGGGCTGGGATTGTGGCTCAGTGGCAGAGTACTTGCCTTGCATGTGTGAGGCACTGGGTTCAATCCTCAGCACCACATAAAAATAAAGAAATAAATAAATAATATTGTGTCCACCTACAACTAAGAAAATATTTTTTAATTAATTAATTAACTAATATCAGTAAGTGTTATAGTTGTCACTGTTTTCATCACTAATCTAATTATATTTTTCTCTTAATTTAAAAGAAAATTGAATTCAGAGCCAGCTTCAGCAACTTAGTGAGGCCCTAAGCAACTTAATGAGACCCGACTCAAAAAATAAGTAAGGCTGGGGGCGTGGTTCAGTGGTTAAACGCACCTGGGTTCAATCCCTGGTATTTAAAAAAAAAAAAGGATTACCTCCACCTCACTAGTTAACAGGAAAAAGCAAGTAAAACACAATAAACACAATGAGATATGGCTTCATACTYGCCAAGGAACAAAAATTTTAAGGTAACAACCAAATAAACTATTGGGAAGGACACAGAACACCAGAAACATCAGTAAATTACCAGTTTATATTATCAAGAGGTATCACAATTCTAGCTAATCAGGTGTAAGCCTTATATACAACCCGGAGAAAACAGCCTGCAAACTTGTTTGCTCATGATCACAGTAGGAAATACATTTCACATCTTAATCCAGTATAAATACCACTGAAAACCAAAGTTCTACAAAACACTACTTATTTATTTTTGCATTACTTGAAACGGAACCCAGGACTTCACACTTGCTAGACAAGCATTCTACAACTGAGCTACACCCTGAGGTACTTTTTTTTTTTTTTTTTTTTTTTTTTGGCGGAGAGACAGTCTTGCAAAATTGCCCAGGCTGGCTTCCAACATGCAATCTTCCTGCCTCAGCTTCCCAAATAGTTGGTATTAGAGAGTGTGCCAGCCAGAATTACAGGCATGACACCACCCTCGGCTTCCTATATGCCTTACAAYAATCTCTTCTCTCCTAGCCTACTGCTCCATTACTTTTTTTTTTAATGTATTTTTAGTTGTAGTTGGACACAATACCTTTATTTTATTTATTTTTTTATGTGGTGCTGGGGRTCAAACCCAGGGTCTCACACGTACTAGGTGAGAGCTCTACAACTGAGCCACAGCCACAGCCCCTCCATTACTTTTTATTTATTTATTTATTTATTTTTCAGTTTTCGGRGGACACAACATCTTTATTTTTTATTTTATGTGGTGCTGAGGCTCGAACCCAGCGCCCTKCGCATACCAGACGAGCGCGTTACCGCTTGAGCCACATCCCCAGCCCACCTCCATTACTTTTTATTTTATTTATTTTATTTTTTATTTTTTTATTTTTTGTAGTTGTAGATGGACAGCATGCATTTATTTTACTCATTTATCTCTGTGTGATGCTAAGGATTGAACCCAGGGCCTCACACCTGCTAAGCAAGCCCCCTGCCACTGGGCTACAGCCCAGCCCTACTTTTTTAAAAAGCTGGTTGCAGCCCACTATTTGAAAAATACCTTTGGAGAAAGTATCCTTCCGCACGCACATGCAGAACATTTGATATTTATAAACCAAAGAAACAACCAAGCTGAAAACAATCAAAATGTCCACCAGCAAGAAAATGGTTAAAATGTGGCACATTCATTTGCTAGAATACTATTGAGCAGTCCTGAGGGCTTTAGTGCTACATACATCAACATGGATCAATCTCAAAGACATTGAAACAAAAGGTTCAACAATTTAAAACCATGTAAATAGTTTTTCTACTGCTTGTGGATGGATACATAGATGACCCGGTAGCTAACAACACCACTAGAATATAATCTCCTCAAAGGTTGAGAGTTTTATGTTGTTTATATTAAAAAGTGTCGTGCCTGGCGTGATGCCACACGCCTGTAATCCCAGCTGCTCGGAGGCTGAGTCGGGAGGATCAAAGCCAGTCTCAGCAATGGTGAGGCGCTAGGCAACTCTGGGAGACCCTGTCTCTAACTAAAATACAACAAGAACAAAAAATTGCTGGGGTATGGCTCAGTGGCTGAGTGCCCCTGGGTTCAATCCCAAGTACATAAAAAAAAAAAAAGTGTCACATAATTTATATTACTTAATAAACATTGAAAGAATCAGTAGTTTTGAAGTGCTAGTCCACAATTATACAAAAATGGTGCCTTTACATTGCTTGCAAATGTTAGAAATGTGTTTTGACTTCTCTGTAAGGAAATAAAGGACTATGTAAGAAACCCTAGAACAGTGTTCCTCATGGGGACCACTGGAGGGCTGACTGATTAAAATAGATAAAGGATGGAGTCTGAGAATCTGATTCTGACAATTTTCAGGATATTAAGTGTGCTGTTCTGGGGACTACGCTTTTTTTTTTTTTTTTTTTTTTTTTAAGTGCTGAGGATGGAATCCCAGGGCCTTGGCCATGCCAGGCAAGCTATGTGCTCTACCACTGAGCCACACCCCCAGCCCAGGGGACCCCACTTTGAAAATCAACTATGACATAGAAAGTTTATTTTCCCTTGAGATCCAGATGTGTAAAAATCAATAAACATTAGCTGAAATTCCAGGAGTTCCCTTCAAGCCTTGCTACTCAAAATGATGTTGAGACAGATTCAGAATTTCAGGCCCCACACAAGTCTACTAATTGGATCTGGTTTCTCAAAATCTTCAGGTGAGGCTGGGGATGTGGCTCAAGCGGTAGCGCGCTCGCCTGGCATGCGTGCGGCCCGGGTTCGATCCTCAGCACCACATACCAACAAAGATGTTGTGTCTGCCGAGAACTAAAAAAAAAAAAATTAAATAAATATTAAAAAAAAAAAAAATCTTCAGGTGATTCATGCACTCATTAAAGTTTGAGAAGTTGCCTTAAAACAATCCTTCCTAAGACTGCAGTAGAGATGCTAAGTCATCCTTTAAGCATTCTCCGAATACAACCCAAATTTATACAACCCAGGAGCAGCTTAGCAAACTGTATTTCCATCTTTCTCCCCAGATAATTCTGATGTACAGCCAAATTTGAAAACTGCTGCTTTAAAGAAATTGGATATTCCTCATACCAAGAAAATGTAGGGCTTTCGTGGAAACTCAAGCAAGGGAAGGAAAAAGTTGCCCCAGGAGGCAAGATTAGGAAAAGACTGATGTAAAAGGAAGTTGAAGTTTAATCAAAGACCTTAATAAGCCTACCCAAAAAAAAGAAGGAATGTGGTCTGCCTGAAAGAGAACCAAAGAGTAACAACTTATGAATGAATTTCCAGCACAGTCTTGGTTGAGGGAGTGAACCTCAGCCTGAATGGCAAGGACTCTGAACCACCTACCAAGTTATTATCTTTTTATTGTTGTTGTTGATGATGGACCTTTACTTCATTAATTTATATGTGGTACTGAGAATCGAACCCAGCGCCACACACATGCTAGGCAAGTGCTTTACCACTGAGCCACAGCCCCAACCTCAGGTTATTATTTTAATAGATGAATTCTGTTGCTATGCACAGATGCTTTAATTTAAAGGACCTAGCCGTTCTTGGGGACTGTATTCTGTAACGGAAAAGTCTATCACTGGGATGCCCTCTTAGAATTCTAAATGAACTGGCTGTAAGTGCTCATCATGTGTTAACTGCCGCAGGGAATGTTCTACATGCCTGAATTTTTAAAATATGCACTGTTGTCACAATCTGTATTTGTTTAATTAATTTCTTAATTTTTAAAATCAAAAAACCCTATGAGGTGTGTGTGTGTGTGTGTGTGTGTGTGTGTGTGTGTGTGTGTTTTGTTTTGTTTTGTTTCTGGTACCAGGAATTGAATCCAGGGGTGTTTAACCACTGAGCCACATTACCCCAGCCCTTTTATTTATTTATTTTGAGACAGGGTCTCACTAAGTTGCTTAGAACCTTGCTAAGCTGCTAAGGGTAGCCTCCAACTTGTGATCCGCCCACCTCAGCCTCCCAAACTGCTGAGATTACAGTGTGACCCAC